TATAGAATAGTCAAAGCCACTCAGGGCCAGTTTGAGCTGCTGTCTCAGAGAAAGAAAGCTTTTGAGAAGTCCAGCCTGAGAATTCCTTATAAAAGGTTCCAGCAAAAAAGGCCTACATGGGAGCAGAGGTTTGCACACAAATTCCTGTATGCCCAAGAAGTTTCTTTATGCCTTGCTTAAAGATTCCAAGTAACAGCCTCCAAACGGCAAGGCCAGCAAAGGCAGGTATTCAATCTACCCTGTTCCTCCATAGCCTCAGGCTTCATCAGCTAAAAACAAAGAAGTAATGGCTAACAACATATTCTCCATTAAGACAGGGTTATGTTAAACGGTGTATGTTGAGTGGATTATCAGATGTCACATGATGTTTAATTGGATCAATGAGGTCATTGCTCTATGTACAACATTCCCTATATAAGCCAACTGCAACTAAAGAAGCTCACCATTTTACCTGAGTGAGCAGATGGCCACCTTTATTTAAAACACAATTTCAATAAGCATGCTTATTCTCCACGACATCGCTTTTCCATGAGACCCTTATGGCAACATTCTGGCGCAGTGAGCAGAGTCTTAGGCCTAGGCCCTAACGGCAACATTCTGACACAGTGAGCAGGGTACTGGCAACAAGTGACCCAGGTCCATGAGGGGACCTTAGAGTCAATGTCCTCCTGAGTTCACCTGCTGCTGTCTCTGTCTGGCCCTTCCCATTCTGCACATTCTCCTCATTTATCCTCTGTGGACCAGGTGTCAAGGACAGGAGCATCCCTGAACTGGTCGCTGTGTTGCCTCCCTAGAACATCAGGAAGATTCTGCAAGGCCCTCCTGAAAGGCAGGAGGAGTTTCCATGTAGAGGGAGGGGCTGCACCCCAGTCAGCAGCAGCACAAGTGACAGCTGGTCAGCAGAATGCTCCTGGGTGGCCCCTGGGTGACTTTGTTCCTCCTTCTTCCATCTGAGTCTGGCTGGCTGAGTAACTAAGAGTGACAGTCTTAGAGACTGAGAGGTGTCCTGGATCACATAACCCTATACACGCCATGCTGACTTTTGTTTGCTGTGGGCGGTGACGAGTAGTGTCGTGTAGGCTGTGCTGCAGCCTCAACTAAAGTGCTCTTCTGACTCAAACCCACCTGGTGAGCTCCTACTCATCCCTTAAGACCCTGTCACATTTTACCCCACCCTGGTAGCCCTTATGGTACCACACCACAATTTATACTTTAAAGCTTGTGCCCCTTCTCTGGTCCGGGGGCTCTGAGGTCAGAGGGTCTTCCTGGTGTCCTGAGGTTCTAGGCTGTACAGGCTGAGTGCCTGGCCTGTGATCCATGCTCAGTGAGGTATGTGTGCCAATGACCATGAATTCCCTAGGTGGAGGATTGCAGCCCCAGCACTTGGGGCCAGACTGCCTGTTTCCTGAACCCATTCAGGAGGCCTTGCCCTTCCCCCAGGACATCAACCCACAAAGCCCCTGGGTAGGAGGGAGGGAGGGACTTTCAGGGAAGGGCTCAGCTCCAAGGACAGTGTACTGTGTACACAGCTGGGGTGACCGCTGCAGGGATGTGGCTGCTGAAGAGGGATTAGGTCCTACAGGCCAGTGCCTGCTTAACCCAGGCCTGGCAGTACCCACACAGCCACTGTCAGGCTGGGGCCTCATACCCAGCACCCCGTGGGCCTGCAGCTCAGACAACAGCTCTGCTTCCTCATAGAACTTGCTCTCCCAGGGGAGCAGGGAGGCCGGGAAGGCAGGGTGGGGCCTCCTGTTCCCACTTCCTCTTCCTGGGTCCATCTGGGGACCTGGGTGGGAGCCCACTAGAATAAAAGGAAGGGAACGCAGGGTCAGGAACATGAACAAACACTAAGTTGCTCCAGTCTCCAAAGGCCCAGCTCAGGTCCCTGCTCCCCTAAGATGCTTGTGCCACCCCCACCTGGTGGAATCGGGCTCTGGGCATCACTACAGCTGTCACTCCTACCAGAACCCAGGGACCAGGGCGTCTGGCTCCTCTGCCTCCATGGGGGCTGGACCTCACTTGGCAGACACCCCCTGGGCGATAGGTCACCTTTCACCAGATCCTGCGGGCTGAGCACCTGTGATGGATGAGGGAACTAGAGGCACATATAGGGAGCAACTTGCCAGGGTCAGGCCACGCAGGACTAGGGACCAGGTCTCCTGGCTTCACCATCTTAACTGCAACATGAGCCTATCTCCCATGTGGGGTACCTTCAAGGACAAGAATGTGCCACTTTTGTGTCCCTTCCCAAGCCACAAACCCAGAGTGTGGGTCAAAAGTCACTAAGTCAGCTGAAGCCAGCCCAGTGGGTGAATGGCAAAGTTGCCCGGGACAGGGCCCAGATGTCGGATCCTCCAGCTAACTGGATGGGGGGGCAGGTGCCTCCCAGGCAGCCTCAAATGACCCCATTCAGACAGAGGCAGCCACAGCTCTCCTGGAGCCCAGCCCTGCTCCACGCCCTGGCCTGGCCTGGCCTCTGGGTGTTACTTGGGGTGGGGGAAAAGCCCCTAGGAATGTCCTACCTCATCCATCATCATTTTAATGGTGTGAAAATCATGCTATCCCAGGGCCGTTCTCTCCCTCAGAAAGGAGCAAGTGCCCTGAAAATCAGGCCGCCTCCTCCGCCCTTCCTCCCCCACCCTCCTCAGGAGGACTGGCAAACCCAGCCCAGGGGCTCCTCAGCTTAAGGTGACCAGACGTTGGCTTTTGGTGGAACAGTCCTGATTTTTAACAATTTGTCCTGCGTCCCACAGCATTTTTAAAAAGTCCCGATTTTTGGAAAGAAAGCATGACAAGCTAGGGAATAGCAGGAGAATGGGAAGGGAATATAAGGTCAGCTGCTGAAAAGGTTGATGTAACTTCATTTGGGAATGAAAAGGCTAATGTAAACTCCCTACTCCCCTCCTGGGCAAGGTATCAGAAGGAGACTGGCTCCCTCCCTTGCTTCCGGGCAAGGACAATTAGCTCAGAAGGAGCCAAACTGTCTGGAACAAACAAGTAGCCCACCCCTCTCTAGAGTAAGGTGACCAGACGTCTGCTTTTGGCAGGACAGTCCCAATTTTTAACAATTTGTCCTGCGTCCTGCGGTGTTTTAAAAAAGTCTCAATTTTTGGAAAGTATACATGACAAGCTAGGGAACATGGGAGAACAGGAAGGGAATATATGGCTTTCGGCTGCCATGTGGCTATTTTGTCAGGATATGCGTTTTATATTATTTTTGTTAATTTTATAATGTTAAACTTTAATAATAACAAATAATTGTTGAGAACTGATTATCGAGCACTGCTTATCAAAGTTTGCATTGTTTTCAGGCCCTGCCCCCCAATGGTGTCCCACTTTACCAATGTTAAAATCTGGTCACCTTACCTCAAGTTCAACTTCAACTTCATTCAGGAGAGCTTGCTGGGTGGAGGGTGAGGTCAGTGTCTCTGGGCAGGACACCTCCTGGTCCCCAGTGTGTGCTCAGTCTGGCCCCCATCAGCCCCTGGAGAGGACAGCTCAGGGACGCATCCCGGGTGGTTCAGGCGGAATTCAAGCAGCTGGAGCCTCACTTCTTAGCATAATGTACAAAACCCATCCTGAGGGTTTTCAAATGGAGGTTCTGGAAGAGTTGATGAGTAATGTCAGAATGCCCTGCTGGTAAATAAACTCAGGGAACATAACAAAAGTAGGACTCCATGTTTTCCTGGAATGAGAGCAGGATCCTTCTCTGCACCAGCCAACTACACAGGGAGTGAGCTGCCAACACCACCTGCTGAGACCTCAGGTCCCACAGACCAGGTCCAGTCCCAGCCCCCGGGGGGCAGGGGTGTAGCCTCTGGCAGCACCGGGAATGTTGAGCCTTTCTTTCTTTGTTATAAAACAATTTCAGGGACACACCCTTCAGTAAAAATAAGGGCAAGCTGGGCAAGGTGTGCACTCCGTTCCCATTTGTGTTAAAAACGCACTCAGCTCTGGAGAGAGCATTTCCTGCCGGAGACCTAAGGAAGCACCAAAACTGGGTGTGTCTGGATAGCAGTGAGTGTTTTGCGTTTTTAAATGCATTAAATATATTTATTCCATACATTTATTAAAATGTAGTTAATAAATATATATTTTTTGCTGTATAAGAAGCAAAAAAGAAAGGAAAGGGATCTGCACCTCTCAAGAGTTGTGAGAGAGACTCACAAACCCGCTTTTAGTCCTCGGCTTTCTGACGGTCTGAGGCCCGTCTGGGATTCAGTGGCCTGGGGAACACTTGTCACTGTGTGGGGGTCTCTGTGTGGCTCCTGGCTGGGGGGCAGAGCCGTAATCCTTTTGCCTGGACTCAGGCCTGCTCCCCAGCAGAGGAGCGTTCACCTGGACAGGACCTCAGCATCACTGCTTTCCAGCCACCAAGAATGGGGCTGAACCACCCTCTCGCCTTCAGGAGAGAAGAGATGGGTGGCTGTGAGGCAAGAAAGTAAAAGCAGAACTGAAAGAATCTGTCCCAGCCGCTCTGTGTAGGCCTCAGCCAAGCCGCAAGCGTTCTGCTGTCTGCGTGTTTCTCCCCTGACATACTCGGGGCCTAGATTGTACCTAGTAACATCCTTGGGTTTCTGTTGCCTTTGTGGCAGGTGGTCCGACCAGTCTCAAGGACGTGGGTGAATCTGACCTTTCCCTTTGAGCCCGGGACCTTGAGGATGATGTCATGTCTCTCTGTCTTATCACCCTCACATGCACTCCTGCCCTGAAAGAGGGATAAAAGAGAGGCAAGAGATTGAGTCGGGGGGCTCGGTTTTGGTAAACGTGCGGGTGTTCCAAGTACCCCCGGCCGAATAAACCCACTTCCTCTATCAGCTGGTGCCTGGAGTCTTCTGTCTGCGTCGGTTTCCTGCTACAGCTGCACAGTCCGGAGCAGGGGAGAAGCAGGAGGGGGAGGAAGGGGAGGAAGAGCTGTCACACACAATCTGGAGTGGCTGTGCAAACACAGGGGTATAAATGAGTCTCCTGGCCCAGAGCCTCCAGTCCTCAGAGCTATCACCATGGAGGCCAGAGCTCTCTGCCTGCTGCTGCTGGCCCTGGCCTTGGTGCCCTCCAGCTGGGCGGAGGCCTATGTTGGCCTGTGTGAGTACGGGGAAGGGGGTAGGTCTGGGCAAGAGATGCAGAAGGGCCAGGGGAGGGGGCTTTCTTTTTTGTTTTTGTTTTTTGCTCAGGGAGGGGCTTGCTGTGGGCTCAGGAGCTGGGAAATGGAGGAGCTTCCACACGCACTTAAGAATTGCAGTTTGTCAGATAGACGAATTCTCTTCAACAGCCCTGCACAGCATCTGACTGTGCCCATTCCACAGACAGGAACATCCCTGCACAGCATCTGACTGTGCCCATCCCACAGACAGGGACACCAAGCCTCGGAGAAAGTTGATACTTGCCTGTGGAGATCCTCCCTGGTCCTCTCTGGTCAGGGTTGGAATTGGGGTTTGAACCCTGGCCTGCCCCCTTCTATTCCACAGCCTTCTTTGCCAGAGATTTTGGAATTACAGCATAGAGTTTTATGCATTGTTTTGGCACATTTACAAAACCAAACCAAACCAAAAGGAAAGATGATGATAAAACGATTACTCGGTTACTTCTAGAACATTTTCTTGCACTTCAGCTGTCTCTTTGCCCCTCTGGATGGGGGCGGAGTGTCAGCCTGTTTGAAGGGTCAGGGTGTGGTTCTTATCTGGTTATTCCTGAGCACGGGGAAGGCAGTGGTTCCCAAACTTGGCAGAGCTTTGAAAAACCCCAGTGCCAGGGAGACCGGTTACATCAGGAAGTCCCGGCAGGACCCCCCACCGATGCCAATGTGGGCAGTGTGGGGGCCACTGGAATCCAAGCTTAGGGACTGGCAGCCACAGATGAGAATTTATGAGATTTATGAGAATTCATATGATTTCTATTTTCCTAAAGAAAACCTGTTAGCTGATGAGACAAAGTGAACCTTTGCAGCACATAGTGACACACAGGCGCACTCCACAAATGAATATTGGAGACAGAAAGGTGCCCAGGGAGGACACTCCAAACTCAACAACTCAGGGGCAGAGAGATCCAGGACAGAATTAAAAAGTAGCCTGCACTGGGATTCCTCTATGGAGGGAGCATCTTCTGTACACTTGACATTTATAACAAGGGGCCAAGACTCCAGTGAGTGATCAAACAAGGAAGGCGAAGTTTGTTTCTGGTTCTGGGCCCCTGGGATTCCAGGGGCTCCTGCCAGCGGGCCCAATCCCGAGTCGGTCTTCCTATAAGGCGGGAGGAGAGCCAGGTTGGGCTTCCGGGCGGAGCATCTACCAGCACGTCTCTCTTCACACATGTAGGTTCGAAGCCCACCTGCCCAGGGCGGGGTGTTGCCATCCTTTGAACCGCGGAGCATGGTGGGGGGTGCAAACTTACACAATGACAAACACACTCACTCCAAATGGTAAGAGCTCTGGAAATGACCAGGCTTTGTTTGGGACAGCGGCAAACCAGTGCGCGGTTCCGGCCAAGGACAGAGTGGACTGTGGCTACCCCGAGGTCACCCCCGAGCAGTGTAACAACAGGGGCTGCTGCTTTGACTCCAGCATCCCGGAGGTGCCCTGGTGCTTCAAGCCTTTGCAGGAAACAGGTAAGCCTGCCCCATGCCGCCCAGGGTCCCAGGGTCCTACTGGAAGCTGCACACGCCCAGGTCCTCCCTTGGTAGAATGTCAGCACTGCGCTGCCCCTAGCTGGGCCTCACTGTGAAGGCTTCCTGCCCAGGGCTGTGGCTGTCCTATTTTGTCCTTTTCATGTAAAACATAAAAGCAACTGTCTCAGAAGGTGTTCAAAGCTAAGGTGCTCTGAGAAGGCAGCTACCGTGTTTCCATGAAAATAAGATACTGTCTTTTATTTATTTTTTCTCAAGAAGACACACTAGGGCTTATTTCCAGGGAATATCCACACTGAAATGCATCACTAGGTCTTATTATTGGGGTAGGGCTTATATTTAACAAATGCATAGAAATCCTGCTAGGGCTTATTTTTGGGGTAGGTCTTCTTTTGGGGGAATATGGAAGTCTAAGAACTATCCTAGAAGGAAGGAAAACACATAGGTGAGCTATTGTCCACACACCTGCCACCCAGAGTTGTCACTGTGACACGGCCACGACAGATGGCCAGCGGGTGGTGACACTGGGTGGTGCACCCTGGTAGCTCTCCACACCTCCCAGCCTCCCCACCCTGCGAGAGTGCACCTCCTGCCTCCGTCTCTCCTTGGGGAGGTCCTCCCCAGGAGGGGCTGTGTCCTCTGCCAACAGATGGCCCTGTGCTTGGGGCTGTCCACCTGGCTGGACAGGGAAGTCTTACCTTGAAAGGACACATTTGTGTGAGGCACCTTCTTGGAAGCAGCATCTAAAGGGGCCACTCTTGCCTTTATCCCAGGAGTCCAGCTGCTCCCTGATCAATTTGGGAGGCCCCTGCCCTCCCCAGGAAGGCTGGGTGGGGGTCTACAGGGGCTCTGGAGGGGAAGCAGGAGGGAGTGCCTGCTGCTTCCTGGCCTCTGGCCCCAGTCCTGGAGCTGCACAGTGACCCTGCTGAGGGTCATCTCACTTAGCATCTGTCTAATCCCTGGGCCCTGTCATCTCACTTAGAGCCATTGGGTGCCTGACTCACTCAGTGGGGTTTGGGGCAAGAGGCAGCATCAGGTGCCAAGTGGGAGCCTGCTTGCCCCTGAGGGCCACACAGCTGGTGAACAGAGGACAGAAAGCCCAGATGAGGCCTCTGCTCTGTTCACAGAATGCACGTTCTGAAGCGCCACCCGCTGCCCCAGCGCCTTGGATGGATCTAAGACTCTGCGGACCTGAGGCTTTGCGCTCTGGGCGCCCTGCCCACCTTCCTGCCTTTCTGCCCCTCTCCCGGCAGGGCTTCTGCTGGAAGTTGATGTCTGGGGCCTGATGCCTTAAAGAATAAAGATCCCGTGCTCGGCACGAGGACGGCTCTTCTTCCTGAGACTTTACGCTGCTGTGTTTATTTCCACCCTTCACACGAGCTCCTTCCTCAGCATTTCCCAGTGCGGTGGCCAGGGGTGTCATCCATCGTGCCTCCCAGGAGAGGGTCTGCTCTGGGGCCTCAAGGGCAGGAGAGTAACTCCTGGGGCTGCATCTCATGTGGGCTATCTCAGACCCAGTGCTGACCGACGAGGACGGCCAGGAACCCTGTGAGTGGCCGCACTCTCACGTACATTGAGAAAATACATCTCAAATATAAGTTTTCTTTTCTTTTCTTTTCTTTTCTTTTTTTTGCAGTTTTTGGCCGAGGCTAGGTTTGAACCCACCACCTCCAGCATATGGGGCCTGTGCCCTACTCCTTTGAGCCACAGGCACCGCCCCTCAAATATAAGTATTTAAAAATGATTAATGTCTTTCTTGGTGAAGGCAGCAAGCCAATAAAACCATCTTACAAATTCATCCTCTTCCCATACTTGTTTGCAAATCTAGTTTGACACCCGTGTCCCCTTGGTGACTTTGTGTTTTCTGTTTATTATGGAAATGGATGCAGCCATATGAAAGGTCCGTTTTTCTGAGGGTCCCATCTCAGGTCCTCAGGAAGTGTTCACGGCCCCTGATCTGAGCATCATCTGGCCCCTGCCCACGCTGCATTCTGGACAAGGCCACTCTCCACTCACACCAGGACTGTTCACGAGTGGAGAGCTCCACAGGGGCCATCTGGCTGAGTCTCCTGTGTGCTTCTCCCGGGGACTCTCTGGAGCCCAATACACAGCCTGCAGAGGATGGTGCAGCTTGCAGTGGGGTTTCCTGATCTGAGCCGTTTCTGCCCACTAGAAAAGTGGCACCTGCTCCCTTGAAGAAACAGCCTTGTCTTTTTAGCTTGCAGTTGGGGCTTGGTCCCCAGAGCTCACAATGTGTCTGGAAGTGACATATTATGAACCTTGTCTTACAGATTTTTTAAAAAAGCCTTTCTTTACAGAAGCCACTACTGAAAGGGGAGGCTGTTAGGATGTCCCACTCTGACTTGGAAGCCCTGGATGTGCCCTCTACTGACCAGTAACATGAGCTGGTTTCAGACCTAGTGAAAGAGAGGCACTTCAACCAGCAGAGATCTCACAGACCACTGAGGCTTATACGAAAGGTCTTTATTGGTGGGAGGAGGGAGGCTGCAGAGCGGCACCAGCAACGAGGAGGTGAGAAAAGAGAAGAGAAAAGAGGGGAGAGAGATAAGGAGAGAGTGGGGAAGAGAAGAGAGAGTAGAGAAGAGCCGGGGGGAGAGGCAGAAAAGAGAGAGAACAGAGAAGAAAGGCAGAGAGAGGCGGGAGGGAGAGGAGGTGGGGCGGGGGGTGCATATTCTTATATAGGGAAGTTTCAGAATGGAGACGGGCTGGTGGATAACCAATAAGGAGTTATTGATCTGGAGGAAAGAGCCATAGGGGCAGGCAGCAGGAAAGTGGAACAGGGTGATGAGGTAAGCAGGCCACTCCCTGTGCTAGGGAGGAGTTGTAACTTTAAGGGCAGGAAGGGGCTTTTTGGGGGGAAGGGGCTTTCTGAGGCAATAACCTAACATTCCTCCCTTCTTGACGTATAACAAATAGAGGGTTGTTGGGAGAGTGGACGTGGAGTTCTCTCTTCTGTAATTTCTTCCTGCTGGGAGGGGCACGTAGTTTTAATTGGCCAACTAGAGGATCACCTAGGGCATGCCCCAAGTGAGGCCTGCCCCACTGGGACCCCCTCACCCAATACTGTTCTCTCCTGGATGTCCTCCTAGTGGGGCCTGAGTCCCTCTTCCTCCAGACCATGCCCAGACTTTGAGAGCTGCGGGAGGTGAGGGTCACCGGCCCTGGGACTGATGACGGGGTGCTGCTTTCTCCCTTGCTAACTGCCTGATGGCCTCACCCCTAGGACCAGGACACTGCTGCCTATCTACATTGCCACTGCCCTCCCCCTGCCCTCCCTGCTGTTACCACACCAGGGACCTTGAGAGGAAGGGTCCCCAGAGCCTGAGCTGGAATAGCGCAGCCCCCCCCCCAAGAGCCACTCCATCCCTCTGCTGGGCCTGTCCCTTGCTTGATAGGATCAGGTCTCCCCTGCATCCTGGTCCCCTACCACTGGTTCTCCCTATGGGGCGTGTGGAGCATGGAGCTTGCTACCCAGAGGAAAGGCAGAGACTGAGAGGCCTGTGGTGGGAGGTCGTGCTGGGGAGCAGGATCCCTTCTGGCTGGCACACTATTCTCTGAAGTGTCCACGGCCTGAGGTCAGAAGGCAGTCCCCACCTGGGGACCTACAACCCCTCGCAGCTATTGGTCCACACGGGTTCTCACCACCTGCCACCCAGCAAGAGGGAATCGTCCAGAACACACCCTCCTTGTCTCCTGCTGACACTCCCGAGTTTTCTTGCTGGCTGTCCCCAGCCCCCTCGATACATCCATGGAAGAGCAAATAGCAGAGTCAGGATGAGCCCCACCTGTGGCCAGGGATGCCCACCTCAGCTGCCAGCCTGCTGCTTACCAGCTGGTGTCAAAAATGAAATAAGCAAAACCTGTGGCTATCTTGTCCCCATGTCCTCATCGGGGACACCTGCTGGAGTTAGGAGCCTTACAGCATCAGAGAGCCGAGGACAGGGCCAGGCCAGGGCTCTGAAGAGGAAGGTCATGCACACATCCTGGACGTGATATTTAAAGGATTGCCCAAAGACTCAGTAATCCACAGAAGCATCATTTATACAATATTTTAAAATCCAGTCAACAGATTACATAAGGCCTGCACACTACTCGTCTGTTTTTGTAAATACAGTTTTATTAGAACCAGGGCTGGGGCTAGGGGAGGTGAGTGAGGAGAGTCAGCTGAGTGTGGGGTTGGAACCTGTCTTTATTTACATTGTTGATGTTTTATTCATCATCCCCTTTTTGCATTGTTTTTTATTTTAAATGTTGCATTAACAAATTCATCTTGACGACTGAGCTTTCCAGTTTCTGTCCAAGGTGAATGCTGTGCTCATCCCTGCCCAGCCTGCAGTGATATCAAGTGGGGACAGTGCAGTGAGTCCCACTGGAGCAGGAGCAGCCCCAGAGGCCTCACTGCAGGGGCTCTGATGTTCAGCATAGGCCCCGGGAAGTCCCAGGGAAGAAGAGAAGGAGGGTCACAGAGGTTTAATAAATGCTTGTAACAGGGTCAGCAGCCTCTAGGCCGGCCATGTCGACCCATAAGCCCACGTGCTGGAGGCAGAGGCAGGGGGAGGGGCGTGGGGGTGCTGGATGCTGGAGCCCTAAGCACTCGCCCCCGCCCCCCCCACCTGAGGGCAGTTCTCCTGTCTCCTCTCGTAAGCAGCATCTGGGAGGCCAGGTGTTGCTGATTTAGGAGAGAAAACTCCCAGAATTGTGAGCTCTGCTGTTGTTAACAGACCACACACCACACACTCACCAAATGCAACCCAAATTCCAAAGTGGTTAATACTTCTGTTCTGATAGGTCTGGATTTCCTGCTCATGAACTCGCTGTGCTAAACTGTAACTTTATTTTTATCATAACTAGATGTCTTTTACTCTGAAGTTCTTGGAAGAAAATAAAACCTAGTCCCTTTCTGGCACCTGGTCAAGTCCAGGGTCTGCCTCTCCTAAGGGAGGATGGTCCATGGGAGGCCCCCTCACCCTGGGATTGTCTCTGGACTGGGGTAACCCGGGAGGCATCTGCTGCTCCTCCTGAGGTCCAGGAACATACCTCAGCTGGACCCCCATGCTTCTCTTTGCCCCAGGTGCCTCAGTCCCATCTGTCTCTGTCTCTCCTCCCCCTACCGTGGGAATGTTGGGAGCCCCAGAGCCCCAGGTGGAGTTTATAGGCAAGAGAGCGGCGCCCCTGTCGGCGCCCAGGGACCTTGTGGCATTTCCATAAAAGATATTATAAAAGCCCAGTATTGGAGAAGCCTTCTCCATGTGGTGAAGCGAGACCCAACAAGCCCACCCCCACCACCTCTGAGTCCACCCGGCAGAGAACTGGTCCCAAAAAGAACGAGGACAAGCAGCGCCCTCTGCTGGCGACTTGGAGTGACCGCAGCTCCGGACCAATCCCAGCTGCACCCTGGCACCTGACCCAATCATAGACCCACCCTTGCTTCCTGACAGCGCCCAATCCTGTTAAGATGTGTCCCACTGGACACTCGCAGCAGTGCAAACCTGTTTGTGAAGATTCGAGCCCAGTCAATGTGCCCAATCATAGACCCACCCTTGCTTCCTGACAGCGCCCAAAGCTCATCTCCTTGAACCTCCCCTGAAGCACATGAGGCAAAGGGAAGCCCGCTCCCCCAGCGAACCCTTTCTTGCACCCTCACACAGAGATGTCCCACATCATGCTGTTTCTCTGACTATGCACATGTCCCGGGGTCTCTGGTGCAACATCAGCCAGGCGCAGCCAGTGTGGCTTCTCTCCCATCCTGTGCCCAACCCTGTGCCCCGCTCTAGGACTCAATGGGGATGATCAGGACATGGTAAACCAGGGGTCCCCAGTGGAAGCTGGACCACCACGGTAGCACCCTGTGAGTGTGTTTCTGAGTGTCATATGAATGGGGGCATCAAGTGGACGCAGGCCAGACATGGCAGGAGTCTCTATGTCCCTCAGTGTCCCATGCAGACCACTGCCTCCGCCCGGAGGTCATTCCAGTGTCCCACTGGACACTCGCAGTGGTGCAAACCTGCTTGCGAAGATTTGAGCCCAGAGGTGATTTCTGTTTCACATCTTAACTCATGGTCATTTTGTCACCATTGTTTTTTGTTTTGTATGATTTGAAGATGCTTGAATTCTGCAGGAATTCTTATTGTGTAAACCAAGGGGAGACTGCATTTATTCACTTTGGAGCTTTAGCTGAGTTATTTCAAAGGTCAAATGTCAATGTCCCCATGGAAGTGAGTCACCGCTCAGCCTGCCAGGTCTGCCTCCTGCATCATCCAGCCAGTGGGGCCCGGGCAGGTCAGACTCCTGCATCATCCAGCCAGTGGGGCCCAGGCAG